CTGCCTTTTCCCTCCCCTTGCTTACAGGACACTTAAGAAAGCAAAAAGAAAAAAAAAAAAACAAACAAAAAAACAACCCCAAGTGTTTCTCCCCCCGGTGCTGCTTTGCTCAAAAGAAATCCCCAACACAGGCCTGCAGCTAAAACCTCCCTGTAAGCCACTCATTAAGAAAAACGCATGCAGCCTTTACAGTTCGCATCCACTTGCCGCCCGTGTACCTGGCCCTCCTCAGGGCACGCAAACCCTCTCATGATCACGCACAGTACCCACACATTCATGAACCATTCAGCTTGCATGGATTATGAACATCTCAAGCATTATTATTATTCTGTCCTTTCCTAAGGTGTCTCTAACATACTTTAAGATGGAAATTTAGCTCCAACATAAAATTCTGAGGAACCACAGAACAACTGTGGCTGATCCATTTTCAGCTTGGCCACCTCCAGGTCTTTTCTGCAGCGCTGCTGTCTAGCCCAGCCCGCCCTGTTGCATGGGGTTATTCTGTCCCGGGCGCACTCGCCTTTGCTGAAGTAGGCAAGACTGATCAGCCCGTGCCCCATGTCATTAGTCTGAATGGCAACCCTGCCCTCCAGCACATCAGCCGCTTCTATCTCCCCCAGTTTGGTGCGATGGGCAAACTTGCTGACAGCGCGCTCTTCCTGCTCACAGAGGTTGTTAACAAGTTCTTGAACTGCATCAGCCCCATTACCAACGCCTCAGCAATGCCACTGGTAGCCGTCCGCCCAGCAGCCCTCGAGCCATTAACCACCACCCTGTGCCCCTGAAGGTCCAGCCAGGTCTCCACCCATCCCACCCCTGCCTCCCCAGCTTGGCCGGGAGGATGCTGTGTCAGGCTGTGTCAGCAGCCTTGCAAAAAAAGCACTAAGCCCCAAACAACGCTCTTCTCTTTGTCCACCAAAGCAGTTACCTCACCTTAGGAGATGAGATTTAGGTGAGATATGCTCTTGGTCACTCTTGACCTTTGCATGCCAGGAAAGGCTTCCGGAGGGCTGGAAGCAGGCTGCCAGATGGTGGCAGCTACGTGCAGTAACCCCCACCCAAACGTGAGCCGGTTAAAACTGTCGTAACTGGGATTAAACTGTAAAAAAGTTCCGAAGTGTGCCGAGAGACAGTACTGCTTCATTTCTATGAGTTTAAAACTTCACCTCCAAGCTGGTTCTCTCAAGACTTTTCCCGCAAGCATCACCTCCTGTACGTTCCTATGCAGGGCTCCTGTTTCTGTACCTCTCCTGATCTCTCAAGTCTGCTTTGGCTTCACAGTTTGTATCTCACTTGGGCAGGAGCATCCTAAACACGCCCTCAGTAAGAGGGCATTGCTCATACAAAGCCTGGGCGCACACCCAAGCATGCATAGGCACACAGAATAAGCTTCTAACTGCTGCAGGTGCCACTGCTCATGAAGTTCAAGCATCTTCCAGGAGGGATGGCCCAAGACTACATCCCCTTTCCACCTCCACCCTCCCTCCAGCCGCCGCCAGTGCTCGTGCGGCAAACAGGTTCGAGTGGTTGCACAGAGAACCAGAGCGAGGAATCAATTGACTGAAAGCTAATCCAATAAAAACAAATAAATAAAAAGGTTTAAGAGGATCAGTTTCCACTCAACTGGCTCACCGTATGGCCATGCAAACACATGTGCCAGGACAAGGGATGAGAAAGAAAGCAGCAGCAAGGACTACTGCCTTTTTCGGCCACAGCGTGGACCGACGCCAGACATACTAATTGCAGAATGGCATACTGTTGATGGGGTTGATGCTGCCCCACCAGTCCCAGGCAGTGACAGCTAAAGACGACACCTAAAATAAGGAGCTCTGCAAAAGCTAGCTCACACCACGTGTGCGGGGGGGGAGTGGGGGGGGGGTTTGGGGGTTTGTTTGTTGGTTGCTTTAGGGTTTTTTAAGTATTACACATGCAGCCTGCTGCAGTGATCCAAACTTTTAGCTGATAATTCCTTAAAAAGACTGCAAGTGAAATGAAATTGAAAACAATTAACCTAAGATCTTCAGAAGCAAGCTTTTTTTTTCTTTTAGTAGACGCTCCAATAGAAAGTTACTTAATTTGGCTGCCATTTGAATAGTCTGTCTCTTCCATTTGTATTAAATACAAATGCGTTCTCATTTCCATCACCGTCATCTGCTGCAGGGTATTTGTGCAGAGTACACTGGGGCGGGGGGACACTTTTTGGCACCATGGGGGAAAGGAGGCAGTGTGAGATGAGGGGGCAGGCAAGCCAGCTTCCCGCTGCTGTTTGCTACCACACGTTTCAGTCATGCTGAAGCTTCCTAGTGATTTTCAGCACACGATTCGGCACGGTTCATACATTCAGCAGACAGTCTCCACTGCAAAAGTTTTAAGCAAAAAAAAGCCGGAACAGTGCGGTAAAGGCTGCAAGCCCTCCCGAAGCAGAGCCCAAAAGCTCTTGCAACACAAAGGGAAAATAACAAGCTACTGAAAAAAACCCCACACCAACCCCAAGACAAACCAGAAAAAAATCTCCGTGTATTCAGGGCTTGTACCTCTTATTCACCAAGTCTCAATCAGAAAGTGTAAGGCGTTGGCCCATCTTAATGAGTAACTGGCGAGGAATGTTTAGTTAACAGAGAGAGAAAAAGGGGGTGTTAAAAAAAAAAAAAAACCACCACACCAACCAGTTTTGGGAGAGACAGCAGTGTTTAAGAGACTATAGTGTAACAGGTTTTCTATAGGGAGATGAAGTGGCTAGACAAGATGCCGTAGCTGGAGCGATGCCCAGCCTCCTTCATCCAAACTCACCCCACACGGAGACATGGCGGCGCAGCCCAAAGGCTCACCAGCTTCACGCCCAACCCGCACATCCCCCGGTCCCCAGCCTCTTGCTGCCAGCAAGAACATCCCAGGAGGGTCCATGGCTGGTCCTAGCAAGGCTATATGGACCGAAGCATCGTATTCTCTGTCAGTGGAACTGTGGCATCAGCTGGCTGACTCCAACTTACAAGTACACATGGAAGTGGGAAGAAAAAAGTGGATATCCAGCTACAGGCTAAATAACTACAAGGTTTCTATAAGCACTGTGATACAGAGTTGTTCCATGCTACCGCATGTGCCATGGTGAAAACACATTAGTCACAGAAGGTGGATGGAAAGGGCTTGAGTTTGTGAACGCTGCTAGATGCCGGTATACTGTAACAACTGTCAAGCTTATTGGGGGGAGTGGGGTGGGGGGAAAAGGCGGCCACACAATAGCCAATAGTTTCTTTTAAAATAACGCACCCATTCTTTCTTTTGGAGGTTAAAGAAGAAAAGATTTCTTTTATGAAACAACTTATAATTTCAGGCCAAATTAAAAAAGAAAAGCATAGAAAATTTTGCTGTTTCCACAATACCAGCAGATGGCATTTCCTGTAGCAAACCCTTCTGGGAGCCTGCAGCTGCACAGCAAAATTTATGTCCTTGTCAGCATCACGGATCCACCGCTGAGACTCCTAGGATCTGCGGCTCCGTGCAGCCGGGACACAGATTTCTTTGGAGCCACAGGTCCTGAGAGCTTTCCCACATGGCTCCATCCCTCCCTCTGTCCCAGCCATGATCCCTCAAACCCCAGCCTGAGCAGCACCCAGAGCAGAGGGGCTTGGTGGCTCTTCCACAACCAGGACCCTCCTTGGAACTGCCAAGTATTGCCTACCCCAAGTGCAGTTGCCAGCTTGGATTTTCCAAAATCGTTAACTTTCCAATCACACCACCTTTGCACTCATTTGCAGATGTCTGCTAGCTTGCACTTATGCAGAAGCTAACACCCAAAATTACTTTTCCAGATATGGCCAAGCACTCAAATATTTGGGGGGGGGGGAACGGAACCACACCAAAAAAACCCCAGCCACAACCTATGCTGCTTGAGTTCAGGAGGCTGACAGGAGAACAGGACTCCCCAAAAATCTCCTTGTGCCAGGAAGGCAATTAGAGAATTTGACAAAACTGACCACAGATGAGAATAAAAGTTTCACTGTACTAAACTAGCGCTGAGATTTCTTCCAGGAACTCAGCACAGAAAGAACACGTTTAAGTTGCTAGAACTCCCTAATCCTCCTTATCTGACATTTCTTCCTAGAAAAGCACGTTTTATTCTAATCTATTTCAATCCTAAACATATTTCCTAAATGCATGAGCAGAAAGTGTCATTACAAAACCACCTTTCAGTCTTGCTTGCACGAGTCAGCCTGCACAGGACTTTAGGGGAAATTTTTCCCACATTTTAAACTTCTGTCCCTGGAGAGAAGAAGAAATTTGGCTTGCTTTGTGTTACATTATGCATTCAATTCTGAACAATTCAGTATTGAAAGCCTTTTCATAAGCTTGGAAAATAATATGAAACATTAAATAAATGTGAGAAATTAGCAAGACTTAGTAATTAACTGAATAGCAAGGTATTTTTTTCTCCGCCTGACTTCACGCAAGCGTGACAAGTCCGTGCACAAACAATAGATGCGCAGGGGTTGTTTGGTTGGGGGGCAGGGGACAAGCATGCTTGAGAAAATAATTAACAGAAGCTGTGAAGACATTCAGGACATTGATGTAAAACTTCATTTTATAGCAAAGACGAAAAACAAGGTCAGCTTCCCAAAACTGATCAAGAGGGACGATGACTCATATGTGCATCAGCAAGCCCACATTTTCTCACTTATCAGTGCACCTTAATTGGATTAATAACTGGATTTTTAAAAAAAATACTTTGTATTTTCTGAATATCAT